ATCGGTGAATACAGATAGTGAACGATAATTTGTTAGATTGTACTAAGACGGAGACAAAACATTTTACTCAATATTATATTACATAATAATACTAAAGGAAAACAAGACTATACAATTTTTCTGATTGTTTAGAATTGAAGTACCTACATAATGTTATTATGAATAAACCACAGTAAAACATTTTTTTAGAAAATAAAAAAAACACATACATTTTGCATGTTGATTCTGTTAATTTACCTATCAGGTATATTAAGTGGAAGTAAATTATAAGATTTTATTTAAGTCTAAAAACGCATTATTAAATATTATTGAATAGGTAATAACCTTTCTTATTAAATACAAAAATCGTAACATTAGTAATTTAAATTAGGTATTCACTTTTACTGTGTTATATATAAGTACTTGGAGTTTGGACTATTATAAATGTGTAAACATAAACTGTTCAAAAATAAAAATAAATTTGATATCGATGTATATACACTACGAATAAAGTTTTATAAATTTCATATCTTGCCAAACGTGTAGTTATGTTAAAATAGTAATACATAATAATATTATGTTGGCTAAAATTAAATATTTGGTAAATTGGTAAGCCGGTATACTTTGTATTTTCCCGGGCCGGAATCTCTCCCCAATCCGCCCCTGATCGTGGTACTAGATTGAACAGTCGGACAGTCCGTTTTCTTGATCGGATAAAAACTCTAAAAACGTTATTTTAATGTTGTCATAAATTTTTTTTTTATAAACGATAGTCCGTTCAACTCGGAAGGAGCTTTGGAAAGAGCAAAACGTTCCGTGGAACAACAGTACGCGGTGGTCGGCGTATTGGAAGATTTCAACGTCACCCTAACAGTGTTCGAACATTACATACCAAGATTCTTCAAAGGAGCGTCCAAAGTGTACTATGGTAATTTATATTAAATATTTGATTAAAATAAAATAATAATATTATACTATGTTTGTCTTAATACCATTTATTTTGTCAACAGGAGACATGGGCCTGCACAAGATCAATCACAATGCGTTCAAGCCGCTGGTCAGCGAAGCCGTGAAAGACATTGTGAGGAAGAATTTTACTAGAGAAATAGAATTTTATCAATTCTGCAGGCAGCGACTATACAGACAGAGACTAGCGTTAAATTTGTAACAAAACGAAATACATCTCCTGTGAACGTCGATAAAAAGTTCCTCGTATACTAATTCAACGTTTAAACTCTCGCGTGTTACGCATTTATTGTTTTTCGTTGCACAATATATTAGAAATATTATAAGATATATATATTTCAGTTTTACCATTCAACAGTTATGTTGTACATTTAAATAATTCAACATTTCAATTTGGCAATACAAGACCAACAACAATTATAAAACAAAATAGATTTAAGTTAAACGAGTATTATAATATTAAGTCGAAAACCTATACAATATTCTAATTTTAGCAATATAAAAATTTTAATAATAATACTGTATATTTATTGTTTTAATAATTAAACATTTAAAATTTAAACTTAATGTGACTTCACAGACATTTTTGTTGTGCTTATTAATATGGACCAGTTTATGAAATATTAATTTTTAACAATGTGCAATGTGCTAAAGTTTATTGTAAATAACATTACTAGGTATTACAAATTAAAAATGAATAAATATCATCATAATATATTTAATTTACCTGTTGCCTACTGGTTACTTAACATTTTTTAAGATTCTAAAAATGAATACCTAGTATGTGGCTGGGAATAATTTGATGTGTTTGAATAACTATCCGTGCTTCTATGCACTATGTCTATAAAGACCCCAGATCAGTACTTTATGGTTTCCAGAGCCAAAAAGATAAAATTTATTATACGATGAAGCTGATGGTAGGTTGAATATCTACTCAGGAGTTACTAACCGAACTGGATATCTGAGGTGGGTACTATTTTATTAGAGAAAGGTATAAGTAGCGCTACCTCACCACGAACTATTAGAGTGATTGGCTCTAAGTACATACTACTATAGACGTGAGCAGGGAGGATACCGGTATGCAATGACATCCCCTGCAGAGTTATCATAACCATGTAGTTATATTAGGTGTAAAGGTTTTGATTATAAATTAGAATCATGAACTTAGTAATCGTTTCTTAGTTCAAGAACTTAAATATTTTGAATATTTTTTTATATTATTACTTTCTTATTACAAAATATTGGGAGTTGAGACGAAATCAAATACTAATTAGATTTTATAATTATATTTTCATAATCACCACAGGTACCTATAAAGAATAAAATAGATTGCTAACTATAGTATAATAATATAGGTAGTTGAAATCAAAATCAACCATTTTCGTGAGAATTGCGGGTTTTTTAGCCAGAACATTCAGGCCCCTGTGGTATTGCTTATTTTCATACTACCTACAGGTTACAGCTATCAAAAATAAAAGTATTTCAATTAATTAGATAATCATTTTTTGTCATTATTAAATACTATTATAATATAATCAAATGTATGTAGGTTTTTATACTGCTGTTACTTTATTGGAATGAAATCACAGTACAAGCTTTTCAAATTAAAATATCTAAAACCAATAATTAAGCTACATAAAATGCATGTTTATTTCCATACCCTAGTCTGCGCATACCTATGCATACTACATACTATGTGTATTATAATACAGCGGTTTTATTATTGTTAGATGAGTTTCGAAAATCATAGCAACTTTGACTCGATTTTCGTTTAAAGATAATTGTAATTTGTAGTTAATTTTTGTTATTTAATATACAACATTTTCTTAATTATTAAGACATACTTCTGCAAGATGATCATATTATGATCAATCCTACAATCCTTATCCTGATGTTTTTACATTCCTTATTAGTTGTTGAAGATTTCCACCTGTTCCTCCCTAGGACGTAATCTATTTGATTTCTAGGTATTGTAAGTAGGTATATTTTCGGATTGTCCGCATGGTGACTATATACCATATAAATAATCGACGCATCACGCATGTGATATTTGAAATTAGTGTTTGCTATAGAGAAATTGTTGTGTAGGTACAGAAGTCTTAGAAGTAATTATCCTCGCTTATTTCTCATTCCCATCCCAAACTTCCAGACTTTATATTACTCAATTAATCATCGGTGTAGGTGCGTTATTCTTGTGTTGAAGTCGTCAGTTACTAGGAGTAGCTCTCTGTTTAGGATAGTCCTTACCACATAATTTAGCCTTGATAGAAATTTTCAATTTCTACATCATTCAATGATGAAGTAGGGGCGTAAACTTAAATTATGTTTAATGTTTATATTTACTGGGTTGCTCCATAGGCTATAGGGTAATAATAGGTTGCTTTGAATTTTACCTAGGATAATCGGTTATTATATTTATTATATCCTATCGGCTATCACTGTTCTTTATATAATTTACAATTAGTGCCACCCATTAATAGATTCTTGTTCATTACCCGATGATACTACCTACTACACATAAGCACAATATGGGGGGGGGACTTGAGGGGTTTAGCCGGTCCAATATTAAATTTAGCCCCTCCAAAAAATTGTGTTTTAATTAAAGTATTAATTATTTGATCTACTAATATACAGTAATTGTTTGAAGAAATTATTATTTATTTGAATAAACGCCCATAAGGACTAAAATCCGGTTACAATTATAATATAATATAGTAATGTTATAAATAATGTAAAATAAAACTGTAATTAAATAATAATACTTAACAACAAAAATCGCATAATCAATAATTTAGTAGTTTTGCTGCTTTCGAATACAAAATCATAATATCGTTCATTTTTCGTTATGCCATACGCAAATATCGCTAACTGGTTTGGCTAAAACATAGACATGCTATTTACTATTAATGAACAATGATCAATATGACAATATTACGTCTATATAAGAAATCCATATCCATTACTTGGCCCATTTCCAAATTTAGTGCAACCCAAACTTAAGTTAAATTGTACACAATATTCTTTTTGGAGGTTCTATTTGTCAACGTTAAATTAACATAAAATCAATAATCAATATTAAAATAATAAACAAATACAATCATACAATAATATTTTTACTTATATTAAGCTAATAAACTTGATAAATTGTATTATTTTAGATTCTGAGCGGAACGACCCCTAATTGCCCTGTTTTTTTAATTGATTATTATCATTATCACAATTTATATATTTAGTAACAAAACAAGTATTTTTAAAATTATAGTTTTCAATTTCCAAAATTCTAGCGATAACTGCTGGACAAAGGAATACAAATTTCATTGAATTATGGTTTTACGCGGCGTTGTAGATAGGCCAGGTATTGACCGTACATCACGTCGTTTTCACGGTTTTATTACCGTCAAGACGGGATAACAAAAAGTGGGCAGACTAGAGTTAAATTTGTAACACAACAAAATACATCCTCTTTAAACATTGATAATAAGTTCCTCGCATACCTACTTAAACGTTTAAACTCTAGCATGTTACAAAATTATTTATTTTTTGTTACACAATATTAGAAATTATATGATATATTTCAGTTTTACCACAGTTATGTTGTACATTTAAATAATTCAACATTTCAATTTGTCAATATAAGACCAACAATAATAATTATAAAACAAAATACATTTAAGATAAACATATTACATTAAGTCGAGAATATATTCTAATTTTAGAATTAAATATTTCAAATTTTGTTCTCTGATTGAACTCAAATTATTAATACAAAGAAGTGCATTTGGAATGTAAGCTCGACTTAAAACGCACAAATCATAAATTTTTTTCAAATTTTTTTTAATCATATCAATATTGTCATATATATTTATATATAAAATAAATTGACAATCTCACATACAGTATAATTTAAGATTAAAATATTTTGTTTTTAAAGTTATATGTATATGAGATAAAAATCATTTAATGTTAAAATACTAATGTACTTAAAACTATATACATAATATCGAATTAACAACTATTAAGTCGAGAATTAATATCATTTAGATAAATTAAATTATTTACAATGCTACTTTGGACTTTTTCCGGGCGATGGCATCTTCTACGGCCTTCAGTTGTTTCAACAACTCTTCTCGTCTTGACGGTGCTGCTCCTCCTTTCTTCTGTCAAAAAAAATATATATTTTTTAAATTTTTTTCTCATTCAATAATTACAATTATTAATAGAGCACAAATGTTTATGCATAAAAAAGTATCACAATATATCATAAAGTATAAAGTAAAAAACATGAAAATATGCAATAAACTTTTAAAAATAGGTAATATTAACAAAATACATGCATGATGTATATAATAAATTTAATTATTGATGTATTAGGAAGACAAGCGATTTAAAATAAATGTATTGGAAAACAAATATTTTTTTTTAATAAAATTGTATAACCCTTTGACAAGTGGCCTTGAAATACATTAATGCACCTCAGGGAACGGTGTTTGAAAGAAAAATTGAAAAAAAAATTAAGAGCAAAGTATAATAATATATATCCTACTTCTCAAAAATAATTTACAAAAATTGATTATATTGAACTGAACTCCATAGATAGCAGCACATAATTTCATCAGGTAAAACTCAAATAGAAATTAAAATTAAATAGTGAGAAAAAATTACATAATATACGTCCACTCTGAAAAATAATAGGTTCTTACTTCTTAATCGACTGAACTTAGTCTCAACTGAATTTTATATTACCCTGTTATTCGTTTTTGCGAACCACACATAATTTATATTTGTTTCAATAAGCAAAAAATATTAAAATGTATTAAAATATGCAATGATCATCAAATATGCAGGAACGTGAAAAAAACGTCATCATTAGTTAGAGAAACAAATATGATTCATAAGGATTGCAGACAAAAAAAAAAAATACATATATATATATATAATTTCATATTCTAATTATTACTAATAGCTAAGAAATGTAATATCTTATAAAATATGATGAAGTATTAGTTTTATTATATTTTTTTTATAATTAGATATTCCAGAATATTAAAGAAATATCTAACACTTTACTAAATGGAATTATTGGAGGCCAGTCATGAGACAACAGTTCACCCCTTTGCAGACGTGCATTAATTTAAATGAATCATATGTATTGACTCCACGAATAACTTGAACAATTGGGTTAGTGGAACCAGTTTTGTGATATTAGTTTTTATAATGACCTACTTTCAAACTTAGAGGTAAAACTACTAAACATAGGGTCATAGGAAACTAATAGGATTTTATTTATAATGTTTACATGGCAACGTTAGAACTGTTTTAAACCCATTTTAAATTTTATTTATAGAAGTAAATAACTTAGCTATCAGAAATAAAGGAAGTATCCGAACATTTATAACTGTTTAAAATGTTACAATATAACGTAAATTGATACTTAAATTTTAAAGTAAGTTATGAAAATTTTACTACTGTAATATTTAGTAATCTTTTATTAAAACATTAAAATATCAATAATCCTAGGTAATATACACATGCGGGTAAAGCATGCTATAAAATATTTCATGTGGTAGTACTTACTCTTGGTGGAGAAGAACTTTTAGTATCATCATTATCAGATTCCAATGATCTCTTTTTCCCTTGAGAAACTAATTTTTCTAAAAAAAAAAATTTAAATAGGAATAATATAACAAATTATATAAATATTAAATACTATTAAATGTAAACTATTAACATATATTTTATAAATGTAACCTTTTTTAACTGGAGGAACAGTTGGAGCTCCCATTTTCTTCTTATTTAGTTTCATTTGCGCTTTTTGCATCTAAACAAAATTAGTTATTATATACAATAAAGTATTAAAAATTAACTTGTATATTTATTTGCATACCTTTTTTTTAAGCAATTTGTTAGGAGATAATCCTAATTTTTTTTGTTTCGGACTTCCTCCTTCGGATGAAGTTTCTGAACCACTTGAATCAGAAGACTCTGAAGAACCTGTTCCAGAGGCTGATTCACTGCTTGACGAAGATGAAGAGGTATGAGTAGTAGCTGGAGACTTAACTCCGCTTGGTTTATTTACTGCAAACCTAGGCGGCATTGGCATTTGTCTTGCTCTAAAAAAATGTTTTGTAAAATATTTTGCAACAATATGTAATACAAATATAGACTTACCTTTGTACAGGTTGTATAGAAGCTGGTGTATTTGTAGGGGAAACAGACCATCTATTAGTTGGCACTGGGGGATTCATTGATCGACTCATTGGTTTTTTATCAAATGCATCTGGAGAAGGATTTCTCTCTAAAAATATGTAAAAATTAGTGGTATATTTTATAACTAATAGTAATTTTAATTTCATTCAATAATTTTAAATAAATATCAATGCAGTAGTCAACAATTATTTATGGAAGATACTCAACTCTTTAGGCATTTTATTAACTATTAATAAACTTTAATTATATAATTGTTTTTATTTTTGATTCATACAATCTATACAATTTTAGTATAATAAGCATAAATGATGATACAAGATTAAATTTACAAGAAACGGGAGCTTGAGTAGATATACTTATATAATAAACAAAAAATATAAAATATAACTTAAGTTATTATTTATTAATTACGATTAATTTTGTACTTAAACTAGGTAAATTAGTTATTTGATAAATCTAAAAATATATATTCCAACACCTTAATAAATGAACAATAATTATCTCCTAAAAACATTAATTTGTACATTTACATCAGTAAACAATATCAGTATGCTCTGAAATATATACCTATAATATATTAATTAATAATATTGAATACTGTATTTAAGATACAATATCAACCAAGTCTGAATTTAAGCATGTTTAAATCTCTTTAATGAAATAATTGAATAATAATTACCTGGCTTTCTATTTGTTTTACGGCCAGGGGATGTTTTAAATGACAATGGAGGTGCTTTCTTCCTATTTTTTGTAATTGAATTAGATCTACCTCTTGAACGACTACGTGAGGTATAAGTTGAGTTGCTTGAACTGCTGCTAGACCTATTAACATTACTGAGATGTAAGGTTTAATTTAGTTGATAAAATATAAAAGCTATTTAGTACCTTGATGACGAGAATGAAGAATGAGAAGAATAAGACTTCTTTCTTCCTCTAAGTTTAGATCGGCCTCCAGGTGATTTAGATCTCATCCATGGATCAGACCAATCATCTCCTCTGCGTGGTCGACTTGATGACCTATCTCGTCTATTGCGATGACCAGTAGGTTGAGGGCTACACAATCAATTAAAATAATATTGTACTTAAATAACAATTAATATACAATTTAAAAATTAAATACCATACCTGTAAGATTTTTCAGAGCGCTGCATAATTACTTCTCTATTAGGAGGGTACTTAGGAGGCAAGCCTCGATGATGAGGTTTTAAACCTGGATGATAATAAGGTTCAGGGTGTGGATATGGATAATATGGATTTCTCCGTGGAGGGGCATGAAAATCTATTGGATGTCCAGGAGGAAAATGTGGTGGTAAAGGACGACCATGATGAGGAGGCCAAAATTCTGGTCGATGATGGTAAAAATCTACTTGTGGTGGCATAAATTCATCCACATAGGCATCTGGAGGTGGACCCCTATGATGCCGAGCTTCTAAATCAGGTTTACTATAAAAATAATAAAATAAAAACATAATAACTTGTTTAATAACTTTTTTTTAACATACTAACAATCTTTCAATAGGAGGGCTTAGGGCAGGTGAAGCAGTTGGACTAGTTGGACGCTGTGCATAGTAATCATTTTCTTTTTCTACTTCCTCTTGATTTGATGTTAAGTTCATTTTTTTTTCTTCAAAGTCAATATCAGTTTCTTTTTTTTTATTAGACTTTTTAAGTATCTAATATTATGTAATAGAAATATTAATAAGAAATTAATAAAGAATTAATTATTTTAAAGTTTAAAGTAAATATGCTCTTTACCTCTTTAGCTTGACGTAATCCTCGTTCCCAAGCAGTTTCTACAGGAGGTATATCATCTTTTTTCATTGGTGGAATCGGACCTCCAGGAATCTAATCAATGTAACTCCCTTATGTTGATATTACAGTTTAAAAAAGATTAACTAAAAACAATATTTACCAAAGTTCTTTCATGTGCTCGATAAGAATCATTTGGATAAAATGACGGTAGGCCACCAGGTGGTGGTATCGGGCGTACCATTTCAAACATTGAATAATTGCCTTTGTCCGCGACGCCAGGATGCAAAAATCTAGATAGACCATTCTTGATAGATTCATTTAGATCTTAAAACAATTTTACCACCAAATTACTCACCGACAGCTTGCACCCCAGGTACATTGTCCTCTCGAGTAAAATCGACATATCGGCCTGGGTTCTGTTTCTTCTGGCCGATGTTCACCTTCATCAGAAACTTCACCCTCTTCAAGTTCCTCAGGTTCTATTACTTCTTCTACCTCAGTCTCGTCTTTAACTTGTTTTGGTTCATCGCATTCTCCATCGTCCCCATCATCAGCTTCAAAGTCTAAAGGTTCTTCAGGATCATTAACTACATTAGGCTCAGTCTTAACATCCAGATTATTATGACCGTTAACTGGAATAACAATTTCTTTCGAAGGAGAAGGAGTGCAATTATCACTTTTCCATTCTTTTGCACTTTTCTATAAAAAAAAAAAAAACATAATACTATTTACTAATTGAATATTGTGTAAATAATTTGTTTACTTGGGAAGCATTATCATCATTTATATTGTCCATTGAGTCTTCATCAGAAACATCCGATAAATAATTATCGTGAGGCTCCTTGGTTTCTTTATCCGATTCATTGCTTCTTGAAGAAACTTTGGATGACGGTCGAGAATGGCTATTTCTGTCTGGAGAACCAGCTGTAGAAGAAACACGACTCGATGAACTAGATTCTGAACTCGGACTTAGTGGCTCATCATTTTGTTGATGATCAGGGCTACAAGCTTCGACAACAGGACTTTTTGATTTAGATGATGAACTATCAGGTGACTGAGGATCATCATCATCATCATCATCATCGTTGTCCTGTTCTGGACTTTGTATTCCATTATCAATGCTTTGAGACCCAGACGTGTTATTGTCGGGGCTCTGTGGGGCTGAATTATGACTGGGGGCTGAGTTATGGCTGGATGCTGAAGGCGAACCACTGACAGATTGCTCTCTAATAACATTGTCTGGCGACGCAGATCTGCTTGAATTATTTGATTGAGAGTCATCAGAATTTGTAGAATTGTCTGATTCCATTTGTACACTTTAAATACACAACTCCTAAGCATACATAATTTCCATTAGATCATTCTATATATAAAATGATGATTATAAAAAGTTCAGGATATGAAGCATAGGTGAAATTTGTCTAAAAATATAATCCTGAACTTGTAATGAATCCTTTATATTAGAACATTGAAAAATTTCAAATTAAATGAATAAATTAAATGATGAAATGTATAGGTAGGTATATATCAGTAGAACGACCATTTATCCTGTAAAAAGCCCAGCCCGCCCAAAGATCGCTGTTTTCTGGTAGATCTTACCTTCCATCGCAGAGAGCATATCGAGGTGCCGAAATATATAACGGGAACACACTTTTTGTCGATAAATACATAACTTTAATACTTGGAATAAGTTTACGGAAGATAGAGCAACACGCGATCGACTTTCACGACACAAACTAACTGATTTAAATAAAAAAAAATTAAACAAATTTAATCGGATATCCGGTATATCTAAATGTACTCTCGGTTTGAATTAAATTTAAAAAAGTCGTCGATACAAAAAATGCTCTTATTTTTTTTCGCTGAAAACTAATATAAGAAAGAAGAAGATAAAATGCACAAATAAATATTATTTATATTATTATTATTGTTATTATAATGGTTCATAATATATTATTATGATATATATTTCGACATCATATTATTATTATTATTATAACCGTCGCCATGAGACAATAATAATTTAATAACAACGATAACGAAATCACAAAACACACACGCGACACGACGACGACTGGCAGCGAATCGTGCGTGCCACGAGCACGGTGTATACGAACACGATTGCCGGTCCGAGTCGTCGTCGTTTACCGCACAATATAATATTACTAGGTATAAAATGTTTTTTTTTTTCAATAAGTCCGGCGACCAGTGCAAGCACGGACTCAGGTTCTCTCACCTCTTGGGTACGATTCTTGACGGCGTCTGAATTGACAGTGGCTGGACCGGACTCTGGAAGTTAGGCGACGGTGGCGGCGGAGAGTAGGGCACTGGGGGCCCGTTGCTCACACGCGAGACAGGGCTGGGGCTAAAACATGGGCCACAGTGGTACGGCGTTGTTCTGAGACCGCCCGATGACGATGTTCGGAGACGGAGTGCGTCGTCGCCGTGAGCTGAAAGGCACACACACCGGACGGCCGCTGAGCACACGCAGTACGCACAGTGGGTTATTGGTAATACGGCAGGGCCGACGAATGGCAGCGAAAACGACGATCAAAATGGCCGCGCGTTAAGATCGGTACGGTAACTCGGCTAATGGTTACTCGATACTGTTGCTGTAATGCTGTTTGACGTTGGTACCTGGTGGTGGCGGTAGCTGCGGTAGGTCCGGTTGCGCTGCGGACGTCGTCGTCGAACTATTCTGAAGGTGTAATCGACAGCGGAGCATAGATATTAGATAAGTATACTAACTGCAGTGTATTGTGGATGCCTCGACGGAGTGACGGACGTCGAGCGAGCGCATCAGCGACGCTCAGCAGTGCGTGCACCGGCCGCGGTCATGCATTACCGTGGTGCCCGGTAATCCGAGTGCCCGCCGCCGATACAGGATTTAAGATAATATACAGGAAACAGGATAAATGATCAGTGATCACGGTATTATACTATATTATTTTATACTCTGAGATTTTAAATATTTTAAATATATATAAATATATGTTTATACTATATTAATTATTTAGTATAATATCATAAACAGTGAGGATAATTTAACTAATTTAAGCAATTTAGGTTTATGTTGTGTCAGTGGGAAGGAGAAAGCTGGCGTCTGTTCGTGCGCGGGATCGTTTGGCAGAAGAATTGTCATACGCGTCCACATGTTTCACGGGGCGTGGGGCTACACTGTCGCTTACCTCCATAGAACTATAGAAGCAATAGAAGTTTATGTTAGCCTATGCTGGTTACTTACCGTAGGATAACATGACCACTGACCAGCGTCCGAGCATAGAAGAATAGGTCCAAGCGTTCCAGACTCCAGTAGTCCAGTTCTACAGCAGTACAGCAATCATTCTAGCAGCGACAGCCGCTTTTTCGTACCTTGCACTTTGTGTCCTTAATACTACACCAAAATAAAAGTTTTCATCAGAAGTGATTAGGTGAAGCATGGTCAAATGGTAGTCGACTCGTCGTGTTAAAGCTTCCAACGACAATCACAACCGTATTGTTCAAATTAATTTTGACGTACAGTTCGATTTAAAGAAAGGTAATTATTGTTTAATACTTTCTAAATATTTCAATATAATTCTTGAAATCATAATAGGCCATAGGACATTGTCATAAATTCTAATTAGTACCAGTGTTCATTTTTGATTTTTGGTTTCTTAACATAAGTATAAAATATCTCATATCACCGTTGTGTCCGTCTGTTAGTTACCTATACATAGTTATGATTGTTGATATTAAGATAGTTATTTATTGTCCGTAGTTACTATACATAGTTACAATTGTTGAATATTACGCTCTAATAGTCACAATTTAATTTTAAATATATATGTGATGGGTTACAAAGGTTGTGTGACAACCATGGAAAATAAATAAACAACAAATCAATTTGTTTGTATTTGTTTGTTGATTATTACACCCACAGATTGTAATACCAACTTGCAAAGTTAATTTTTAGCAAAAACCATTAATATTAATGGTCAGTAACAGTTACGATTAAACCGAATATTAATTCCATTTAAATACTTAAATAATATATGCAAAAGCAAAATAATTATCATTTATTCAGTTAGTAGAAAAGAATTATATTAAAGAAATTTGATAGAGAAATGAAACGTTTAAAAAGAAGCGATACCAAAATATGTAGGGAAGAACAATAATGTGCACAGCAAGTTGTGACAGTAGGCTCAGAAAGGCGTAGGGAAGAACAAGACCGATGTTGCGATGGCAGGATTTGGAGAACGAAAAAAATAATCGTATAATATAGAACTAACTACTATGGTTTATTGCAATGTATTAAACTACATTTAAACACCAGGAATTTAACCTGTAAACATGCCCGCAGAGTTAGCTTTCTTAACTTGTTTTTTATTTCAACATTTTTTGTAATTCACTGAATCTAAAAGTGTTTGAAAAACTTGTTGCTCTTATTTAAATTGGAAGTAAAAGCCCTTTCACCCTAAAATTGTTTTTCTAGGTGATTACTCCAAGTTAAATTATGTGCGGACCATTATACCAAAAAATCTTGTAGCCTCAATAAAAGTATTGAAAAACAAGGTACTTACCTTTTTTTGACTTATAGAAAAAAGCACGCTACTCAATATTTTCCAGTTCGAAGAAAATTTTAGAATCATAAATATGTATTAATATGTAACCATTAATTGTATACATAGTTAACTAGTGGATATCGGTAAATTTTGTATTTTATTTGTTTCTATGGTGATAATGATGAGCAAAGCGTTAGGTTAGATTAGCAATATTGGTTAGAAAATGAAAATATCTGTACTTAGCCCAAAAACCTATTTATGTTAAAACAAAATTTTATGATTGTAGTGTACTTGCTACTTACTTCTTAAGTCATATTTACATAGCATCATATTTTGCATAATAATGTATTTAGAATGAGTATTGAGTAATAAATGTAAAATATTTTAAATAACGGGAATTGTTAACAAAGCAATAAAAGATTTAAAATTTAGTTTATTGGTACCTAATACAATCTTTATGTTGACAAATCCATGTTTTGTAAGCTAAAAAGAATGCATAGCCCTATTGATTTTAATCTATAATTTATGTTATTTATAGAGATATCAAATGTAACAGAGTATGGTAAATGAGGAGTACTCCCTCTAAAATTTGGATATACAATATTTTTTGTGTACCTATGCTTAAAGTTGAAAAAAATGGATACCGTAATTTTGTATAAATTGGTAAAATGGAAAATAATTAAAATTAATTCGTACCCCAACTTGGTTTCATTTGATACAAAAATTACACTTGTACTGACGTAAGACGTTCCCCGTGTACTAAGGTACACTAAAACAAAAATAGGGTCAAATTCGGTTACAAAGATCTTTAAGGGACCTAGGGAATCTAATCGTTAAAACCGAACTTCGTTATATCTGAATTGTAACTTGATTTTTTTGAAAAATTGATTTATTAAACAATTTCTTTACTGTACCTATAATTTTATTTAAAATTACATATTTTGACATTCAAGGTATTTATAATTTTTAATAAAAGTACATATCATATATTATAGGTTATGTGTACGATTTGTTAGAAAAACAATCTATTATAGTGGTTTGTTTACAATTTTGAATAAAAATTTTTAACAAAATTAGAAATATTGTTTAATGCCATTGATACCTCTGGCGTATTTAAATCACTGTTAACCGAAACAAAAGTAAGCAGTAAGCACCTGATCAATATAGAAATAAATTTCCGAAATAGACGGTACTTTAAATACGATTTCTTCGCTCTCTTCGTCAGGTTGTTCCAAGAAACGTATGCCGTATACAATACGGTCGTACGAAACACATTATCTGTTACAGATAAGATTTTAGAATTATCGCTTCGAACGAAATCAAATTTACTACACAATGTATTAATGTATTATTAATCGCCATAGGCAATTATAAACATTAAAAACCAATTTTCGTATTTTGTTTCAAAATAACATCGCCTACATCCGGATTATCGTTATAATCCGCGATATCGTTTTACACTAATAAAAGTACCTACTACACGTCATAACAAAATAAAACCAATCATATACATTGCTTGGAATCGTTATATACAACATCGTAATAAGCGAATTTGACTGTACATTAAGCGTCTTATTTTATATTTGTTCATTTTTTTTATAAGGTTAGTATCCTTTTAGTTTCGCGTCTTTATTATCATTTATGTGGGACATAATATTATGTACTATGGCTATCAATTGAAGCCATTTATACAACAATGAAAGATTTAAGAACCAATCTAACTATCTAAGGATATTTCTTTAGAGCCAGTTAGATTCTTTAGATTGTATGTAATTTTATAATATTTTCTTCATTTTTAATTTTTCATTAGACTATTAGAGACTCGATTTACATGAGGTTTTTTGCAAATTGTATATCGTTTTCAAATTAGAATATGGGTTACATAGTTACATACATGACAAAATATATACTTTGTCATGATTACTTACAACCACAGAACATTACAACCATAGAAAAGAGATTACAACTATGAACTAACTCTTCTGTCGATCTCGGAAAACTTGATTGTAAAATAGAAATACACCCGATGGCCGTGGCGCTATCTGTTCAAATTTTATCGAAGTAATACTTTCCTAGTAGTAAACTACAGACTAGTCCGTGTAGTAAACTTCCCTTTTTTAGGAAGTAATACAATTTTTCTTTTCTATGGAATTCGCGATAGTTTATGATGATAAAAATGCAGTTGACTTTTAATATCACTAGTTTCATAGAATAATGGCAAAAAAAAAATCAAATCTTGGTAGATATACTATTAGTAATAAAGCAACTCGGAGGAAACGTTTAGCCAAAAAAGCTGCTACCCAAATGTCACCGGGATGTGATCGTAAAAAAAAAATCGGTAATAATCTCAATACTAATTAACTCTAAACAATAAACTACCTTTTTAACAATTTTTTTCGTTTATTATTTTCAAGTTAAGAATTGAAACCGATTTGCTCAAAAAGTATCATTACACTTAAACCGAAGTTATCCACCAAACGCATGTTGGATTTGTTCTCAAAGCTAGGTACACCGACTTATCCGTGAGGTACACTCAGTCACGGATCTACGAATTTTTTATGTGGGGTGCTCGTATTCTGTATACTTCATGCTAATGACAAGACTTTTTTTTAGTCCTTAAAATGGATGTGCTCAATATTTCAACTTTATAAACAACACCATTTAATATGGCGTTTATTCACTTAAGCTACACTTCATTTTTTTGTTTTAAAACTTAGGTACGTTTCAACTAGTTAAGAATGATGGTGCAAAAAACAATTGGGGAAATCATTATTTCGGAAGTTATTCCATATGTTTGCAATTTTACGTTTACACGCACAACACTGTACTTTACTGACGCACCCAGTTTCCGTAAAGCCCATAGATACTTTTAAAAAAAATGTATTTAATAATATGTTTGCTTATTGTTTGCGATTGCTTATTGTATTGATTTTTCTCACTCTCTCCCTAATTCACAATTGTGAACACAATAGTGTTCCACTAAACAAACTTGAAAGAAAAAACTTGGGAAAATCACTGACTAACCTAGGTTTGTTGTTATAAACCAATACTAGAAGGTAATAAAAAAAAAAATCAGATTCATTTAATTATTACTTTCTTGGACGGGCTTTCAAATATTTGTCACCCTTTACAGGAATTTGATCTAGTTAAGTTATTTGGTTACTACAATTTAAATTTATTATGAATCTAAAAAGGTTACATAATAATCCTTACATATTCTATTTTAAAGATGATAAAATATATTTATTTTTATTATGTGATAATTACAACTATTTATAACTATACATTTCCTTAATAAAAAAGAATTAATTAAATTATTATTATTTTATTTATTTTTTTAGTGACTATGATGACCAACCATGATGAAGGGTATAAAAATATGCTGGCTAGTTTCCGAACTAACGACTTGCAAACATTATTGGGAGCTTTTGGTCGAAATAAAGCAGGACGAAAATCTGAATTAAAAGATCGGGCACTTGAATTATTAAGAAATAGACCAACTGGCTTTAACCACGCGGCATATGTAGCAAAAATATATGAAATATATCGTTCCATGCAAACAGATTTGCCTAATAATAATGATATTATGATGCGCAGCATATTACAAACCCAACAGAGACAAATGATGACCATGGGGCAGATACAGGGTCCACAACAAAGAATGTACCAACAACCACCACAATATTCTCAACAGCCAATGCATATGACCCGAGCTGGATTACCACAGGTTATGCCCCAAATTCAAAGAGGCATTTATAGTAATTCCATTGGAGCAAATACTATGGCTAACAATAACATTCAATATATATCGGGCAGTTATCAGCCTTCTGGACCTCGTTCTATTACGTCATCTCATTTGTCCTCAAGTCAACAAATGAATGTGGTGCCAGATCCATTGGGATATGATATGAAAGGAATGCCAGTTGGAAATAATTCTTATACTCCATCTCCCGAAACTGTAGCCCGAATCAAGTTCAAAAAGTTACCATTTTATGAGGTAATTGACGAAATTCATAAGCCAACTTTTCTAGCTGGCACAGAAAGATGTACATTACAAAACATTCCTAGAGGTAGCAATATATTTTATTATTTATCTTAAGTTAATTATATTTATAATAAATATCTTATTTAATTAGGTATGAAAGAAACACTATTCAAAATTGTTGTGTCAATGGAGAATGTCAATTTGGTTGCCATAAATCGTGATGTTTCCACAGGAAAAAATGATTATATTTATCAGTTCCAGATTCGAATTAGTCAGTTAGTGGAACCTATGACTAATGAGGTAACAGATTTTATGCCTCTTGGACTGCACATTCGGATTGGTACTAAAGCATGTCCATTACCACCTACTGCTCCTAATACTCGGCCAGGAGCTGAATCCAGACGATCTCCAAGACCTATAAATTGCACTCAACTTGTCAAACTTTCTCCAATCACTCCCAACTTGATCTATATAAATTGGACTCCTGATGGTAAGAATTACGTTTTTGCTATGTATCTTGTAAAAAGATTAACTTCAGAAACGTTGTTACAAAGACTTCAAGATAAAGGAGGTAGGAGTTCAGAAGAGACAAAAAATTATATAATTAAAAAGTTAGCAGATGTGGATCCAGATTTGGCCACTACATCTTATCGATTTTCCTTGGTGTGTCCATTGGGTAAAATGAGAATGAAGATACCTGCAAAATCTATCCATTGTGATCATTTACAATGTTTTGATGCTAGTACATTTATTTTAATGAATGAGAAAAAGCCAACATGGATGTGCCCAACTTGTAATAAACCTTGTTTGTACGATGACATACAAATAGAAAATTATTTTTTGGAAGTTGTTTCAAGTCCAACACTCAAAGACTGCAGTAAGGAAATTGAAATATTAGCTGATGGCACATGGATAGTTTATGAAGATAATAAAGAGACAAAAACCACAAATAGTACTCCTGATGCAAAATTAAAACCTATTGATTCTGTGGATTTAGATAGCGATGAAGAAAAATCTGTTGATATGAAAGAACTTAACCCTGAAACTGTCAAACGCCAAGAAAATGAAAACTTGAACTTTGTCGATTTGACATTAAGTGACAATGAAGAAGAACCACCAAAAGAAAAAGATAAACAAGAAAATGAGGCACAGGCCGCTGATGCTATACAACCAGTTGCTGTAGTTGATTTAAAACCACAAGCTCAAGTACAACCGCAACAAGCTGTTACCAGTTCTGAGCAAGGAGTAGTAATTGAAATAGACAGTCCATCCCCTCCTTCAAGTCCTATCCCTACAACTGAAGCCTCCTAATTTGTATTATTATTGCAAGTAAAACAATTTTAATTTTTAAGATATATTAAACTTAAACATTTTTATGTTATATAAGTTAGCATATAAGATAAAATTAATTCTTGAAATTTTATATTTAATAAACATTAAGATAACAATATAATATTATACTTCATTTTTTATATTATTAAATTATTTATTATTTTAATACAATTTTAATTTAAAATAGTGACAACGCACGCTCTTTAAAATACTACTTTAATATGTCAATGGTCTCAAACCCAAATTACTAACGAACCTATATATTAATTATACGTCAAAGGTTCGAGGACAAAACACTTTTTTACTCATCTTAATACTAAATCCAAAATAAACAAAATTAATGAAGACAGCATATATTTATTCATTAATAAATTATAGTATTTTTTTAAAATTAATGTTATTATAATATTTATTTCTTCAAACATTTAAAAACAAAAAATGTGTTTTGTAATACCTAGTATTAAATACAGTTATTGTCAGATAATATTATGATATGACTGTATATAATTCTAAGTATTACAAATCACATATTTATTTTTATTTAAAAAAATAAAATTTTAATTTTTGAAGAAATAAATGTTTATTGTGGGCCATATTTTTGAGACACCAACCTATGTAATATTTTGCCAGGCAGGATATATATTCTATCTCAAGATAAAATACCCCAAACAGCTACCTGTTTCTGTCCGGCATTATACATCTTTCTCATAATGGCATAAAATGTGACCTGTGGTATTGGAAAAAATTTGTAGAACCGATATATTCTCACTTTGAGACAAAGATAAATTACAATATTATTCTTATGACCATAGTATTTTACTAAAATTAACAAGTACTTTTTTCACTTACAATTCTTTAATTTTTTTGTAATCACCTATTCCAAACAGTAGCACAACCGGGTTGTAATCTCCCCCCTCCTATTTTGTAGGCACCTATTGCCTATACATACTTTTTGTTTGATACTAATTTCTCAGTAGACAGTAGTCATTGAATATTGTTTTATTGTCCACACAATGATTAATCAGTATGTTTATGGTGTAGATACCAATTTATCTTCTGTAAGAAAAGAGTGAATAATGTTATTGTATAAATATGGCTACTGGCTGGACAAACGGTAGAATGATTGTAAGACATTTTAATTTAATTTAAATAATACTTGCAGTCTGTTAGTAGTTACATCTTAAATGAAGAACCAATAAGAACATTTGTGATATTTACAGTAAAATTGATGTAAACAACATGTCAATGGCTGGCCCACTCACAAACAGTAGGTACATCAATAAGGTTTTGTTATGTATAAGCGCGGTTTCGGGTTGAGTTTAGTGAAACTTTACTCAACCGTATGTTATACGTGTAGAAATAAATAGAAGTTATACAACAGCAGTAAATATTCTCTTACAGAATAAAACATTGACAACTTATGACACTACACTTTTAAAAAAATGTGAAGAACAACATTTATATCCTGATCCTGTAATTATCCTTTAATTTTCCACCTAATGTATGAAACGTAGGTAGACGTAGACAAATCAACATTATTTTAATGATAATGAATATACAAACAATTTCAACTTAAGGATACAATAATAGTAGGACAAACACAGTGTCGGCCTGGCCTGAGCTTTTTTTTTTTTTAGTTTATAATTAGTGGCCAGGACCACCACCCCAACGTAGAGTAGTCAACAAAGCGTCAAATATACGGTACAATTAAATGTACGACGATGAACGAGGGAGTGTAGATCACTGGGGCCCACAGGCTGCAGGGGCCCCAGCCGAAGTCTTAACTAAAAATATTGTTTTCTATATTAGATTTGGATAACAATTTTTACAATCAATATGACCACCCCAATTTTTATTCACAAAAATAATCGTAAAAAACTTTAATAGAGCCCTTCATTGAAAGTGACAATTGGCCTAGTTGCGCTACTGACGAAGTGTATAAACGGGGCCGGTTTAGAGAGAGCCCACGGGGCCCGGGGCCCCACAAGATTCAATTAATAAGAGGCCCCCACGAGATAATTACCTTTTAGCTTATGCAGTAAGTTATATGTCAACCTTATATGGCCAGATGATGGGCCCTAGGGCCCCCACAATCCTAAATCCGGCCCTGTGTATAAGTTATAGAATTTGAGTGTAGTGTACAATCACTACAAACACGTACCTATCTACTATCTAGTACGATATAATAGAATCTATATTTTGTCATGGTGTATACGTGTGTGGTGTGCTGTTTACTCGTATAAGGTGTAGTACAAATGTAATGATAAACGAGATGATTTGAACGCACATAAGATTTTTTGTACAACAAAATTGTCGGGAAAATCGTAACGAGTACAAATACAATAAGTCAATAACGTCCATGTGTGGGGCCCTGTATGGCCGTACAATAGGTTTGATAAATTGTCTAATCAATTATTATCATTAGCGCTATATCGAAATAAAGAAGTAAGAACAATTAAGTTAAGTAATTAAAGAACTTTCATTTCATTCAAACTCATTTTATAATTTATTTACAGTTTATAAATATGTATTTATTTTACCCTCTACTCAAGTGACATGTGAAAGGGTATTTTCTAAACTGAAACTTGTGAAGTCTAAAATCAGATCAACAATAAGTCAACAACATTTAATGCTTATTGCAATTGAAAAAGATATCAAGATTCAGAAAACTCAAATTATTGATACTATAGCTACATAACTACCTAAGTCATCTAAAATGTTACATGAATTGCTCATTTAGTATTTAAGTTTTTTATATTTAGCTATTACTTTCTTTAAAAATAATGTTGTGTCAACTTTTGTTCATTGTTCGTCTTCTTTATTATATTTTGGATGATATCTTTTTCGTAATTTGAATTACATTTTGTTTAGTACCTTATTAAAATCATGTGTATCATTAAGCACGTCAGAAGTTAATACTTGGTTTTAGACTTTAGTAGAGAATTGTAAAAGTGGAAAATTTTTAATCGAGCGACTATTTGGTGAGTGGGGGGAGGGAGGTAAAAGTCAGCGTTAATAATTGGCGTTTAACGGTCAGCATCAAACGGTGCTGTTCAATATACAGGTTTCACTTTAATCACACAACTATAGTCATTTTTTATTTTTATTCATAAGAAAAAAACTGAATTCTGACATAATATATCATAAGTTAGTTTACAAAAAATAATTCATTTACACATTGGCTGATTGAGCGGGGGGGGGGGGATATACAATAACTCTAGGAACGAAATTGTTCATATATAGTAAATGAAGAAAAAAAATCGAGGCCCCAGAGAAAAATTGCGGCCGAGGCCTTTTATATGCCAGGCCGACACTGGACAAACACATCCAACAATTTGGACTATTATAGGTAAAATAAGGTTAGAAGTGGCAGCTGATGAAACAAAGCTAGCCCAAATTCAACTGAGTACCACACAGACCCGACAAAAAACTGTATAAAAAAAATACAAATCCGCTTTGCTGTACAGTAGGTTACAAGTGGCTAACTGTATAATTGATGGTATTAAATTTGAATTCAATGATATAATATAATGTCAGTGTGGATATTTATTATTTTATATTATATTTATATTGTCATTACTCTTATTATTAATACAGTAGCCAGTAAGTTGAATTAATATTATAAAATTACAACAAAATAACTTAAATTGTTATTCTTGGTTATTTATATGAATTTCCCCCAAATTTGAACATGAAATAACAATAAAAATAAAAAACGGTTACTTACATGGAACCTTGTTGTAAGTTTTCAATACTTAGATACAAAAGCAGGCCCCTCACTCATTTAACCTAATATTTCAGTCGGCACATTAACACATTGTCAAATACAACAAAAATATGTATAAAATATAAAAATACAAAAAAAAAAAAAAAAATGAAAATAAACCATAGTGGGAAAAATATGTTCTATTTTAAGTTTAATGGGCCAATGTGATGATTTTTTGCCCGTGTCTCCGCAGCTAAAATTAATATCGACATTTCACATTTATTGTATTAAAAACGTCATGTAATACGTATTTTATACGTCATGTATACGGGCTAAATAAACGTATTTCCTGAAACCCGGATAGCAAACGGTCACCGTTTGGCAGTTGGCAGGACGTATTTACCACTCACCGTTATCGTTATAGTTTGTGACCTATTTTTCACCTTAGAAAGTTTATATGTATTTTTCTCTTCAAGTACTAAACGAAGTATAACTTTAGATAAAGCTCTATCAAAAATTGAAGGATCTTTGAAGCTTCGAAATTTGTCTAAGACCAGATGGACTGCCAGGGCAGAATCTCTACGGGCGGTTTGGCTGTCTTTTGAAGAAATTGTTTCAGTTTTACATGAAATATCTACAAAACCAACTATTGATAAAAAAAAACTAGAATTCAAGCATAAGGACTTGAGAAGAAATGTTTATCAATTGATTTTATCATTTGTATGTACTTTATGAACCATATAATGTACCAAATTAAAATATTGACTAAAACATTGGAAACCAAAGATCTTAATATAGTAGACGCACTGATATTAATTGATAGTTCAATTAAATCACTTACAGAAACTAGAAACAATAGTACACTGATTGACTGATTAATGAACTTATAGCCAGATATTTTAGATAATATTGAAATGACAAATATGATACAAATATGGCATCGTTAAAAGAAAGAAGAATTTCGGTGTACCTAATATATAATTATTATATATATACATTTTTTATAATTTTTGTATTTTTTTGGAATGAACATTCTGACAATGTTAAATGATATTTTGTAAAATGTAATATATTATAATACTTATTTGTTATAAAAAATAGTTATTGTTTTATGATGCTCATTTAAAATCAAAATAGATAGAGATACTAAAAAATCAGCTTCGATCAAAAACTCTAAGTAAAAAGGCAATATTGTTGGTAAATAGTGATTTAAATAATTGAAAAATGTCTCTAGGATTTTGTTTATTCTTTATCATATGATACAAAAACATTATTAGTTTTATTGTTTTATTTATAAACGGTTTGACGAATTTTTACTCTGGAACAATATCATAATTAATAGTGAATATTGAAAAATATGTATAAAAACATGCATTTGTCAAGATTTTATAATAAGTTTTTGCTCCAACATAGTATGGAATTGTCGAAACAAAAACTTGACATTTTGAGTGTCGCAAAAATTTTTTTTTAGTGTTTTATAATTATGCATGAATTTCAGTCGTCACTTTCGTTAACCACGACCCCTCACAAATATTAGCTAACTCCGGCCCTGTACAAAAGTTGAACATTTTATAACTTCTTAACTATAAAATCATTTTTAAATTTGATTCATGTCAAACATCAAACTTAAAATGCTTCTAAAAAAAAATGATGTCTGTTTTTTTAATATTTTTCATCTGCTATTTAACAATATATCAGGAGCCTTGTATTAAATGTTGACACTTTTTGGGCCAACAAATACAATTTTATTGATATTTATAGAAACAAAAATTGAAATTTTAAATTGTTCGTAAGCAGCTCAAAACAAGTCAAAACCTTATGAAACAGTTACGGTGTATAGAAAATGCTAATATAAACAAACAGTGAAAATTTCAAGTGTATACGGTCATTTGTCTTAGAGTTAGGAGAGAGTGTTGTACCTTGTCACCATTTTTATAAAAAAAATTCTAGTACCTTCAATTTTGAATATTAAATGTTCATTTTTACTATACATTTAGACAATATACATAAGTATATGGTAATGTTTTTTAAAGCCACAATATTAATTATTTTTTGTATTAAAATTTGTTTTTTTAAACACAAATGTAAATGGTCCCAAGTACAACATGTATTGTACCTTGGTATTTAGGGTCTTGTACCTCGGTTTGCATTGAAATATGCATACTTAATTTCAAAAATAATTTTATATTATGTATTTGATTAGTTATAAATATCTAGTTATTATTTATATAAATTATTGTAGTTAATAAAAATATTTATTATTATTTAATATTTATAGATAACTAGGTACCTATAACAAAACACAATAATTTCTTGAATTTCATTCAGTACACTCCAAATCAGTTTGATCGGGAGATTGTAAACTCGGCCCGAGGAAAAAACATTTCCAAAAGGTCGATGGTAAACTCGGCCCGGGTTTTTTTCAGGTTAAAATTATTTAGATGTAAACTCGGCCCCGATTTTTTTCAGATGAAAATGATTTAGGTGTAAAAACCATAATTTTTCTTATAATATTTTTGAGAAACATTTAGCATTACCCAGAGAACACCGGTTCTCATTATCCTTCAAAAATTATTTTCAGTTTCATATTATTATTCATAGTATGAAATTCGTTATTTAAATGAAAAATGTAATTAAAATGTTATAATATTGATAATAAAATAATTATAAATGTAATTATATAAATTTATAAGTGTAAAAATGTGTAAAAATATAATAAAAAATATATAAGTAAATTTGTAGTGTATATAATGAGTGAAAAATTTTAGTATAATAATATATAAATCTAGTTTTTTAAGTAAAAAGCCATGTATTTTACATATTCACTCACTGATATTTCTTTATTTTTATATTTTGTAAGTGTTCTTTCTAAGAGTTCTTTTTTTTTTTTAGTTTTTATATTTTGGAATTTAAATGGGCCATGTAGGCTGTTGATTTTAATGTACGTTTCTGTTTGTACTTTTTTAATTTTGAGGTGAGTGGAATTAAAACTTGAATTAAAATGCGCATGAAATGATTCACATGCATTTGTTGTTAAATACGTTTCAACTGATGCACTGGCCCACATTTCAGGAGGAAACATAGAATCTGACACCTGACATTTTCGGGCCGAGTTTACAATCGATTTATTTTACCACCTGAAATTTCCGGGCCGAGATTACAATCTACCTATTTATATTACCTAAAATTCTCGGGCGGAGTTTACAACAAAAAAGGTAACTTCGGGCCCAGTTTACATTTGCCCGTTTGATCGGGTAATACTCTTTTAATACCTCGTTTGCTTCTAGGCATTTTAAGTGTACTAATCTAAAAGTAATTAAATAATAATTTGTAATGAAATATAAATTTATGAACAATTAACGGATGGTCCAAAGTACAATTTTTTTTTTTGGTCCAAGGTACATTCGAGATTTTTAAATAATTGATCTTTTGGGCATTTTGTAAATTTATATTGTAACAAAGGACCATACCATTCAATTAAATATAATATTTAACATAGGTTAACATTTCCCTTATTAATTTGAATTGAAAAATTAGAACATAACAAAAACAAATAATGTTTTAAAATTCAAAAATTTTATTTTGTGGTAAGAAAATGGTTTTCTGCTTATCAAAAATATACGATCATTTTTCTTATCAATATCTATATTATTTATTGTAGTAAGACGTAAATTTCATCGATGAGATTTTGCTTTCCCCCAATATTTTATAAGACATATTTTACATTAGTCCAAGGTACAACTCTCTACCCCATACCAAAAACCAAAATCGATATTGTCGAAAACCGATTTAGCGTATAAATTCCCGGTTTTCCTTAATTTTTTTTTTAAAGGGATTTTCACCTCCCAATGCAGTATGCACCAACTAAATTCACTTTCTTATCGAACTAGATACAAGTTGAAAATTGAAGCATTGTTTCGACTATTAATCGTATACCTACACGGCTACACAGACAAATAAAAAAAAATTTAAAAAAAAAAAAACATCATTTTAAAATCAACATTCATCGCTCAGAATCTAAATTTGAAAATGTTTGTAAACAGTTCAAAACGAGTCAAAATATTTTGAAAATTTTATCCTGTTTTATCCGTTCGTGTGACGTGTATTGGCAAAATCGGGTGATTGTGGCCTTAAACCATAGACGTGTAGAAGACCACCTACGTAGTTCAGTAGTTGTAATGTTATTAACACTTAGTATTAATCAATACTGTATAGTCAATGAACGGATATATCAGGGTCTTTTGAAGGGTTGTGTAAACATTATAGTCATAAGGAAAGTAGCGCGAATATAAACTGTTTAATTATAACATAATTTCAGGTATATAAGTGCAATGTAAAGGGCTCAGCTCAGAATCGTTTTTCTTATACAATGATATTATATCATTGAATTCAAGTTTAATACAATCCATTATACAATGACCCACTTGTAACCTACTATACAGCAGAGCGACATCCACTTACCCGCTTTTTTTTATTCGTTGCTACGGTGATAAACAAATTGTTAGAAATTAAAATCCCATTTTAAGCGGTTTTTCGTAATTTTTCAGTACTTTTTCCCGTGGCATTAAATAACTATTGAGAAAATCGAAAAATGACCTCTCTAAAGTACCATCTTGGTCCAATTTGCTAAAAGATAAGGTACTATATGTTGAAATCAAAGCACTCCTTCTGGTAGAAATTTTGTATACAGGATATAAAAATAAAAAATAAACACCATTGTAATAGCTTCCTTGCTCCGCTCAGAATCTAAAAATGTAAATGTAAAATTGTAAAAATTAATCAAATGAAATTAAAAGTAAGTAAAATAAATTTACTGTACTGAGTCATATTCAATATTAAAATAAAAAAATCTAAATGTAATACGTAGTAAGTCAAAAATTGTTTTTATCAAAAATCCTTTTTTGTAGTGCCATTTTTCCTCTTTCCGATTTGTTTTTTGTAAGAGGAACAGTTTCAACATTGGAAGCAGAAACGAATGCGTGTATTGGTACAATTAATTTTCTATTGATCTGCTGGAGTTGATCTTTTGTTTCTACATTTTGCAAGGACTGTTCAATCTCTTTTAATATCTTGTTCCTCAAATGGTCACATTTACTCTTACCATCATCCTGGTGTGCTTGGCGAGCACTCTCTAACTTGATTTTGGTACATATTTTCTATTGGCTGTTGGTCTTGTGCGATCTCAGTATTATTTTTACCTTTATCCTCGTTTAAATGTGTGTTTTGTTTATTATTGAGATTGTACATACAGACCGCATGAATGTGTTTACACATTATTATTATTACACAATATTATTATTATGAAATATCTTATCAAAATATATTGATAAATGATAATAAACAATACGTGATAACTCAGATGGATAAAATAATTTGGCTCCACACAAATTTTCCGCCACCGGAATTGAGGCATTATAGTCGGACGCACGTATAAGGTCTACGACGTCCGTGATAACAACCTAACCATGATCACGATTAAAGATATACTATATACACGACTGTATATCTTAAATCGTGCATACTTGTCTATGCAATGATACCACCAGTCCGTAATCCGTATAGGTATCTGATTCTGATATTCTGATTTCACTCTTCACTACCTGAAATCGTGCTTTTCAGTTTTTCACAGTGCGGTTTCTTAATGATCCAGTTTGGATTGACTGTTGGTTCATGATGAAATTCCAACTTTGGTTTAGGTATTTTTTAGTATTACCTATTGTATTGAATACTATTAAATACTTTTAATTCAATATTGTTCTTTTTATTACATAAATGAACAATTTATTTAATTAAAATAAAATATTATATCATTTTAACAGTTTTACACAGTTTAACAGTTATTTTGTACAAAATAATACAACATTAAAATTGTTTGTATAAAATATCTAAAATGGCGATTCCATGTATACAGGTAACTATTACTATCACCCAACAGTCATAAATCTTCTAGGTTTTACAAAAAACTAAGTTTATTCCTAATTTTGCTTACTTTGAATACTTTAATATTATAAATTATAAACTAAACATTTATTTTAATATTATCTATTACTAACCTTTTTATTTATACCTATATTGTGCTATTTATTCCAGGTTGAGAAATGTGAAAAGTGTTTGAACTATTATCCTATTAAATCTATCCATCAATGTATGCCTGTTACGGTTGAAGAGCCTAGTAATAATATTATTATTAACTAAAGTTATAACTTATAAGATTGTTTCATACTAAGTAGATTTTAAGGAAGTCGATATATATTGTCATAATATGCTTAGTGTCTTGGATTGGTAATCCTAATTTTAATAAATGTAAACTATAGCATAGATTAAATATATTTAATCAATGACTATAGATACATTATTTGTGTACCACACTACATGGTGCTTTCATCACTAAACAATGATATTATAGAAAACAACCTTTTAAACCAACCTTGATGCCCGTGTACATAGTAAATTATGTGTCACATAAGACATGTGTAAACTATGTCTAATGTGACACATAAATTGACTATGCATACGGCTATAAGATATTAAACTATTATGCAATGAACATTTTAAAATAAGATCCTATTATGTGTTTTTTATATTTTTATTAGGAAAATTAAAAAAAATTTTACCGGCAGTGTGTATAGGAGATAAAGTACAGCCGCTTATAAATCTTAGTGATTACGACGGAGATCAAAATAAAGTAAATGACAGAATAACTGATTTTAATTCGACTTTGTGTTTAATAAACGCTATTAAGGCTCGTCGTCCGTTGTATGATCATAGAATACCTTTATCAGAAAGGTGTGAATCAATTAAAAATAAATTATGGAATGAAGTATATGATGAACTACAAGGTAGGGATATACTCAACAGTTTTATTTTACCTTTATAAAAAATAAATTTATGTCACATAAATCATTCACATATTTTAATAAACTCTTAATATTAGACAATTTGTTATATATAATATCGTAGATAGGTTAATATGTTTAAATGTTACAGGTCAGATTACTACAGATGAATTAAAAAAAAAATGGAAATACCTAAAAGAAAAATATGTACGTGAAAGACAAAAGGCAAAAAAAAGTGGTCTTAAAAGAGGTAGAAGAACAAAATGGTTACATTACGTTCAACTGTCATTTCTAGAAGAAGTTGTAACACAATGTCATGACAAAAAGTAGCTATTCCATTTCCTAAAACCTATAAATAATTACTAATGTTTTTAAAGTTCTAATCCATATATCATTATTATTGCTAGTAATTTAGATTTAAATTTAGACAACCATTCTGAAGACTCTCATCAACGTTTCACTACTGCTACAGAGCAAAAAAGAAAAGAAAGTATGCAAATTTGATATAGTTTTTCATTATAACACTTGTGATAATTTTATTTTTTATAATACCAAATGTATTATTAATAATATTTTTCTTATAAATAAGTGTTTTATTTTTGTACCTATATAATATTATGAATGTTAATATCAAATAATATGTAAACAGTGCATTATTGAATATATACTCTTTTTCACGAGAGAACGGTACCGTTTCGCGCATGTAAAATGATTCGATTGGTGCGTGGACAACCACGTGATCACGCTTACAACTGATAGTTGTTGGGGGATGCGCGGCGGCGGACCCGTTTTGGGCGGCCGCCAATACCTGTCTCTCGTAAAAAAGGGTATAGTGCATATTACAAATATTAGCTTAAAAGTGTTTATAGTATAACAATAAAAATTTTATCCCTTTAGCAAATGTTCATAACTTCCAAAGACACTTGCTAAATGAACATACAATTTCAAGGCCTGCATTACCAACAGAACTAAATGAAGAACCACATGATTCTGATGTTGCTTTTGGAAAATACATAGTAGCATTGATGAAAGATATACCAATAAAAAAGAGAAAAAAGTTACAATATCAGTTTATAGCAACTGTTATATCTGCTCAGGATCCAGAGTAATGTACTTTCTTCACAATTTTTATAACTCATGTACACTCATATACCTACATATTAATAATTTATATTTATGAATGTTGTTTTAATTTTTATAAATATTTGTTAATCTTATAAAATGTATGTAGAATAATATTGTAAGTTTATATTCTAAAAAAAAATACATTATTTTGTGATTTCGTCAAAAGTTAAACATCTACAGATGACTGAAAACGAACTATCGGGTCTAACATTTTTATAAATAATGCTTAACTTTTTGTGTCACTTATAATTTTTACCATACTATAGTAATTATAATTTCTTCAACAGTCATTTTATAAAAAACAAGAATAAAAGCTGTGTATTTCTGGTCCTATTTAGTTAGGTGTGTATTAAACATTTTTTTGTAGAAATAATGTCTAAATAATGAGTTTCATATTAAATGTTTGTTCCCACAATTCCACATACCGATACCACAATCATTTATTGTTTGTAATAGATTTTTATATTCTAATTTCAAAGTACTGAAGTACTTATTATAGTAATATTAGCATAGGCGTAAATAGGGAATTTTAATGGGGGAGGGGCTTATGCCCTACCATGTTTTAACTAAAAATGTTCCGTTTAGGGTTATATTAATACGATAGTAAATGTGGGGGCTTAGCTACCCCCCAAGCCCCACCCGTTTTGTGCCTATGAATATTAGTATTTGTAAAATAATTTTATTTATCATATAATAATATATACATTTGACTATTTCATAGGTACATTTTTCAACTGAAATACTTTTAAATATCAAACAATTGTCAATTAGTTGGGAACCTAATTATGCAAGTTAACTCAAATCTAAAAATGTTAACATTAAATTTATTTCACACATTTTTGATATTTAATAATATTAAAAAACAACTTTTTGTCAACAATGTTGTAAACCATGATTAAGCTAATTATCTTTTAAAAGTTTAAAACCCCTTTTAAATATGAAAATAGTAAATCTCCTGTACCTATTACAAATGTATAATTGTATGTATAAAATAGTTAGTTATCAACTAATTAACTAATAAAAATATAAAATAATCGAGTAGATAATCTACTAGATATCCTATGGGTAATGATAATCAGGTAACTTAGGTAGGTAATATGTTACCTAATGGTACACGGACACAATGTTAATACTTAATACCTAGCTGAATTGTCATCTGTGCCTTATTAATATCCGTAAGTGATGTTGCCAGGGGCAATTTCATTTCAACATTTTTTTTTTTGTTAGTGCCAAAATGTTTGCGGGCCATTCAAATCATTACTAGGTCACATAGAAAACTTTTTTTTTGAGGGAGGGGGGGTCAAGTGGAGAAAAAAACTGTTGTATATTTGAATAATTTATTTAATATGTTACTTATATTGGTATGAAAGTATCACAATACTACAATAGTCAATATTGTTACTATTTTTGACGAGCTATGTGCAAGTACTTTTAATGTATTTATTGTAAATTGTGGATACCAGTGTACAGTGGTATTTACACTTGGTAAATAAATGAATGGGTATAAAAGTATGAAATACCTAACCGAACCTAACCTACACATTTTTTCTCCCTGCATACTCAAAATATATAATAAAGCTAGCTTAATAAAACCAGAAATTTATTTTATGGGTGCTCTTCTTCACAATGTTTGTGTTATAATTTTATCAATTATAATATAGGTGACCACTGCAAAAGCACATCAAACATTTTTTTTAAGTACAATATTTTTTTATTTTTTTTTTTATACTTACAATACTGAATAGTGAATAAGGTACATACCATTTTAGTTGGTAATTATTATAGTAAAAATATATATATATATATATTGAAATTAATTAAATAATTCAAAAATCAGCAGATATAAGATTGATAAAAAAATGTTCTTTATCTTCATAGACTTTGTACAATTGTACCTACTTGGCTACTTAGTGTATGGCACCAATTAAGAACCCGTGGTATATTATCTGCTTATCAACAGGGTCCGTGAGTTCATGAATTTACATATCAATCTTGCTAAGTTTTATTTATTACTAGGTATTAAAAATTTGTTTCAAGGTACCTACCATGGTCCACGGTCATAAGTCATAACTCATAAGTAGGTATGTGAAGTTTAATTTTGTATATTTGGAGGTTTTTGCCAATTTTCCATATTTATGCGTTTTTCTATTTTATTGGGCAAATTATTCATGATTTTGATATTATTATACTAATGTGTATTTTAGATTCTGAGTGAAACGATGAATGTATTGATTTTACAATGATGTGTGTTTTTTTTATTTTTTTATTTATTTTTTTTGTGTCCGTGTACACGATAAGTAGTCGAAATAATGCTTCGATTTTCAACTTCAGTATCTTGTTCGATTGGAAAGTGAATATCATTGGTGCATTGGGGAGGTCAAAATTTCCCAGTAGTTTTCAAAAGCGCCGGGAAAAACGGGAATTTTTACGCAAAATCGGTTTTCCAAAAAATCGATTTTGGTTTTTGGTGTAACTTTAAAACAAATGACCGTAGATACATGAAATTTTCAGTGGTTGTTTATATTTGCATTTTCTATACACGATAACATTTTAAAAATATTTTGATTTATTTTGAACTGTTTAGGGACATTTTCAGTTTCCAATTTTATTAGTTTTTTTTTTATGAATATCAATAAAAATTTATTTGTTGAGTAAAAATACTTGAAAATTTAATACAAGGCTCCTACTATATTGTTTCATAGACAGATGAAAAATATTAAAAATCGTTAGTCACAGTTTTTGTTTTCAAGCATTTAAAGTTCAAAAAATGACAAAATATGGAAAAATCACGAAAATTTGCAAATTATTTCGAGTTAGAAATTCATAAAAATTTTTCTTTTTAAATCTAAGATATGAAATGTAATACAAGATTCCTTATAAGATTTCCTACATTTATAAAAAAAAAAAATTCTATAGGAAAGTCAAATTAAATTTTTATGAGCGTTTGAAATTCAAATTTTTACAACATTGGATATTCACTCGATTTCTCATGTGGAGATTTCCTTATTTGTTGTATTTGTTGTAATTCAAAAACGAATTACTGTATATACATGAAAATTTCACTGAATGTTTATATTAGCATTTCCTATACACCATACAATTTTGAAAATATTTTGACTCTTTTTGAGCCGTTTACGGACATTTTCAGTTTTCAATTTTTTTAGTTTTTTTTTTCTATAAATATCAATGAAGTTTTATCTGTTGGGCCAAAAAGTGTGAAAAATTAATACAAGGCTCCTGATATATTGTTACAATATCAGTTGAAAAATTTTAAAAATACATAGGCACAATTTTTTTTTATAAGCATTTAAAGATCGCAATTTTGACAACATTTATCAAAATCTCGAAAATTATCAACCAACGTAATTAATAAATTATAAAATGTTCAGTTTTTATAGCTAAAGATTGAAAATTTAAAAAAAAGATTCTCATAAATAGTTCATACTGTAGCCAAAAAATCTAAAAAATATATGAGCACAGTTATTTTTTACAGACATTTTAAGTTCAAATTTGGGACGAAATTACATATTAAAAACCTAGCATACCTACCTATTTTAGTCATTTTGTTGTGAGTGTATAATACTATTCGTGGGTACTTGAAACTTCTAAAGTACACTATATTATATATCAATGATAGTATCAGGGTTTGTTATTGATGTATCACGTGTTATAAGTACCTAGTGGATATTGTGACATGATTAATTTGGAATTTATTATAGGTCAATTTTTTTTGTTAATACCATAGATATGTATATAATATGTCTTAAACCTAGACTGACATACCGTCTTCGCTCAGAATCGTTTTTCTTATACAATGATATTGTATCATTGAATTCAAATTTAATACCATCCATTATACAGTGACCCACTTGTAACCTACTGTACAGCAGAGCGACATCCACTTACCCACCTTTTTTTTTATTGAAATAGGTAGGTACTACGGAAAAACCAAAATATGATGAAAAATGTAAATTGTTGTGTAAATGTAATGATTTATATTTGTTCACTGTCTAAAATACCTCTGGGAACTGTAAATAATTATAGACATTTGATAGCTTTTTTAGTTGTTTCTTTATAAATGTCGATACAATTTTTTTAAAGTTCTAAAATTGAGTACAAGGTTCTTCATAAGTTTTTCATATTCTATTAAAAAAGTATCGAAAATACAATCACAAAATGTTTAATTAATCATTTAATTTAGAACTTTGACGAAATTCATCAAAACCACTTACATTTGTGAATTATTTTGTATAGGTAAGTCATAAATTCATTTTACTTCTATGTCCAAGATTTAAATATTTAAAACAAGGTTAGGTACTCATAAATCATAATAGTAATACCATTGATTATAAATACTAGTATTTATAATCAATGGTAATACTTTTTTTTTATTAATAAAAATTACCCTTGGCGACATAGGCCATTGGGATACAGTTATTATTTAATGTAACTTACCTATTTCTAATGATGACAGATAGTTTGTCAACAATTTATATAGGCTTTACTGTTTGTTTTGAAGTTATGCTTTTATTATGAATTCGATGGTGGCTGCTAGTGAAGATCTGTTGTATCCGAGTGATTCTGAGAGGTGCGTTCAGGAAGTTTTGAGGACAATCTTGATTCGATGTATGTTCAACATTCCGTCATTATGTGTTTGATTGTAAGACAGGTTCCGCAAGATGGACATATTGGGGGATCATTTTTACTCATTAGATGACATTGAGTGTGCCCGATCCGGAGTCTTGTTAGGATAATTTCGAACTTTCTTTTAAGATCTGTGTGATGTGGCCATATGAAAACATCCTGTTTTATTTCGTATAGTTTCGTGCAAGTGGAATTCCAGTTTGTCTGCCACATATTATTGGTACAATAAAGTTTAATTAAGGGTATTACATCTTATAATAGTAATAATTCATATTGGGAACAATAAATCTAAAAATATACAAGCACAAATTTTTTTTCATAGATGTGTTAAGAACTTAAA